CCCCCCCCCCGCTCAGGCAGGAATGAGATGGTTGGTTGAGGAAGGGGGGATGTTTTCCTTGCACTGAGCACGGGACGGACTAAATGACCTTCAGGAATCCCTCTGACCTGCAATTGCCTTCACGAAAGCACTTTCTGATGGCCTGAATCCCTTCTCGGGGTTCACCCCTGACATGAGCCAGGACTTAACCCAAGAGGCCAGCCTTCAAACGGAACGGAAAACCAGGGCACTGGGTTGACCGCATCCGTACCGGTGAGATCGCAGCCTGCGATGAGGCTGAAAGGGCGGGTGAGAAATTTGCTCACTTATTGCTTGCGCAGGTTTAAGAAGGAAGCCACGGAGGCCACGGACCCCGTGGGGAACATCCAAGACATGGAACTGAGAGAAGAATGGCAGGATGACGAATTCCCACGGTAAGGGGGACTCCATGGTCAAGAGCAGTCTATCCTTGTAATACCCAAAAAAGTCCCCTTGGCTGGGATTCAGGCAGGCATCTCACTTATCTTTCCAATTCCTGCTGGTCCCCCCCCCCCCCTATCTTTGATAAATATTAAACCGGATTATCTGAGGCAGCTTAAACTGAAGCCAATTGCAAACTTGCAAAGTGTCTATAATGAAGAATGTTAGAGCAGCGCTCCTCAAACCACGGAGTTAGCAACTTGGTGGACTTCAACTCCCAGAATTCTCTACGCTGGCTGGGGAATTCTGGGAGTTGAAGTCCACAAGTCTTAAAAGTGGCCAAGTTTGGGGACCTCTGTATTAGAGGTTTCCTTGCGCGAGAGCCCTGCTCGGTGCTGCATAGAGTTCTAGGGCTGGAAGGGGCTTTAAAGGTCTTCTAGTCCAACCCCGTGCCCAAGGTTAGAGTCCTTATCATCCCTTGGGTAGATTGAATTGTCTTTAGAGCTGGACGTATTTATTTATCTGGAGAATTTATAGGGCTGCTCTCCTTCAGGGAGCCTAGTTATAGCTTCATATAGCGATAAAGTCAATATCCGAAGGTTTTCTTTAGATTTCTTGATTTTTTTCCCCCTCCCCCAAGGGGGTTTTGGAGATCTGGGTTTAGTTCCAAAAACATCCAGATTCTTCCCTTTTTGATCTTGCAGGCCTTTGCCGGAGGAAACCTCCGAGGAAGATCTAGAACCTTCCAGCTCGGAACTGAGTCCAAGTAAGATTCAGGAAAAACGCTGCCTTTTTTGGGGGGTGGGTTTCTTCGTGGACCCTCCACTGCTCAAGGCACTCTACCCCTGACCACCCAGGGCAAGAGGTTGCCTTACAACCCTTCCCTTCTTCTGCAGTCGCCTCCAACACCCTGGAACTCTCCGGCCGGAGACACATGAGGAAGCGTCTCCAGGCCCCGGATCTCAGCGAGGGCTCGGTCAAATCGGGGGAGGTCCCCGAAAGCACCCCGGACGGCAGCTTGGACATCAACCTGGATGAGCTGGAGACGCCCTCGGAAAGCGAGTTCCAGGAGGGCCCAGAGAGCGGGCACGAATTCGAATGGGAAGGTGAGGCCCCGGGTTCGAGTCTCCAGGAAGCCGCAAGGGGTGGGGTGGGGGCGGCTGGCCTGCCGCTTTTAAGATCCCAGAGCTGGCAGAGATTCGGTCCCTTCCTGGTTTTATGCCGCTGGGATTTGATGCCCGCTCTCCCTGCCTCCTCCCAGATGACCTCCCGCGGGCCAGGCGGGTGGAGGCCAACCTGCCCGAGAAATTCTGCAGCGGCCGCGTGGTAGACACGAAGGGTCCCGACGGGCGGCTCTGGCGGATCTTCCTGGGTGACGACCACGAACACAAAGTGGATCTAAGCACCATCGAGCCTTACACGAGGGTGATCTCCCATGGAGGTAAATCTCACATGCCCCCCCCCCCCTCTCCCAGGCAGGATGAAAAGGGTGACCTAAATTTGGAACCGTCATTCCTGGTTTGTTAAATTGAGCGGAAGCAGATATTCCTCCCTCTGGGCACATTGGGAAAAAAACTCCGTACCGGTGACAGGAAGCGCATCCAGCCAGTAAACACTCAGCTCCGTCCAGTTGCTGAGCAAGGCCTTACGGGGTTGTTAAAAGAGGATGATTCCTGGTTTGTTCAAGTGGAAAGGTGGCCTACCGAACAAGCCTGCATGGTGGCCTCATCCCTGCCCTCCTTTCTTTTCCCCAGGTTACTGCGGGGAAGGTCTGAATGCCGTTCTCGTCTTTGCTTCTTGTTACTTACCCGAAAGCAGCGTCCCCAATTACCCCTACATAATGGAGAATCTCTTCAGGTAACTTCCACCTGTCCCTCTACCTGAGCAGGAGAGAAGAAGTTGGAGAAGCACTTTTCTCTCTGGAAAAGAAACCATGGCTGTTGTTTTAAACGTAGTTAGCCAGCACTCGGATTAGTGAAAAGTGAAGTAAAATTTAAAAACAATCTTTCGGGCGGATTATCTGGAGGCAGGGCTGGTTTTCCAGCTGAAAATGCAAGTTGCAACAAGCCTTTGAGATTCTGCCCTGGGGTAACGCCCTACAGTGTGTCAACACTTCTCATTTGGGGTGTGTGTGTGTTTGTGTGTCACCTGCCTGCTACTACAAGTTTGCCGTGTGATTTCCTCCTCCCCACAAACTGAACCCGGAAAGGGAAATTGAGGCAGAGCTGTCTGTTGTTTTATACACAAAGAAGGAAAGGAGGAAAGGTAAAATATCCTGAGTGTCGAAGGAAGGAAGGAAGGAAGGAAGGAAGGAAGGAAGGAAGGAAGGAAGGAAGGAAGGAAGGAAGGAAGGAAAGGAGGAGAGAAGGGAAAAGAACAGAAGGGGACAGGATGGGACAGGAAGGAAAGGAAGGGGAATGAGGAAAGGAAAAAAACAAAACAAAATAGAAATGGGAAGGGAAAGAGAAAGGAAGGAAGGAAGGAAGGAAGGAAGGAAGAAAGGAAGGAAGGAAGGAAGGAAGGGGGAGGAAAAGAAAGGAAAAGAAGAAAAGAAATTGTATATTCCCCAGCTATTATCTTCCCGTTCAGGTTGTTCTGGTGCTGCAGGAGAAGATTAAATCAGATTTTTTTTTTCCTAAGCTAAAAGGCAGGAAATGGACTCCAGCCTCTTTTGTCATTCCCTGCAGGTACATAATAGGAACCCTGGAGCTGATGGTCGCCGAGAATTACATGCTGGTGTGTCTGAATGGCGCCACTTCCCGGAGGCGGTTCCCACCTTTTACCTGGATCAAGCAGTGCTATCAGACGATCGACCGACGGTAAGAGGAGCAGCTTCCAAACCAAAGAAAAGCCATTTGAAGGAGCTCCTCCCCCCACCCTGATATTTTCAATTTTTATTTTTCTCCCCAGAATGGCACGTGAATCTGGCTTCAATCTGATGAGATGGGTGGTTGGCTCTTTTTTTTGTTTTTGTTTTAAAGGTTCCTTTGCAAAGCTGAGATTCGCTCTGAGCCTTTTAAGGGGCATTTGCAGAGTTTTCGCATGGCATGAAACGGGGGAAATAGCATTTTCAAAGCAGGGCTGTGTGCCTGAAAGACACCCCCACCCGCCCACCCGGGTCTCTCAGGGACATTAAACGGCAGCCCTTCCCCCCACCCCCTTTTAATTCTGAATTCTTCAAGGTGAGGCCTTTAAAAACCGGGTGGGGCGGGGGGGGGATTGTTCAGCCGCTTTGACATCCAGGGCATTGAGCGGCACTCAAGCGCCCCGTCTCAAGCAACTAAAGAAATAGAAATATGGGGAGAAAACCATTCTGTATACTGGCAGAAACTATTCCTGCTTTTCAAATGGCATTTCCACACACACACACACACACACACACACGGACACTGCCTTTTCTGCAAGAGATTCAGAGCCCCAGACAAGGGGAAGGACACAGGTTGGACAATTCAGAGACGCCTTAGAAAGCATGCTATCTCCCGTTTTACTCAATTTTTTTTTTCCCCCTCCTGAGAGATGAAGGACAAACCAACCGAGGATATCAAAATCCCGTGGCACGGAGTTCCACCGTCCCTTTCCATTTTATTTTCAGGCTTCGGAAGAATTTGAAATCTTTGGTCATCGTCCATCCCACGTGGTACATCAAAGCCCTGATGACCGTGTTTAAGCCTTTTATCAGGTGGGTGTAAGATGCCGAGATGGGCTAGACGGGCATCCGTTCACCCCTGGAAGGATGCCAAGGTGGATTTGAAAAAGAAGAAAAAAAAAGAAGACAGTTGCCCTGCAGCCACAAGGATGGCAGGGCCAACACCCACCCACCCTTCACCCTCTTCCTTCCCGCAGTTCCAAATTCAGCCAGAAAGTGAAGTTCGTAGACACCTTGGATGATCTGGGCCAAATCGTCCCCCTTCAACAGATGCACATCCCAGCCTGTGTCCAGCAGTGAGTATGGCCTGAGTTTTTATGGCCTGTCCAGTTTGTTCCCCCTTCTCAAAGGAGCTTCCGGCCTCTGGCTGGAGCACAAAACAACCCCCTGCCTTGCAGAGTGCGCCCTCTTCACATGCTCCGGGGATACGGTCAAGCTTTGCAAAAAATGAAGACCCTCCTTAGGGGCAGGAAAGTCATTTAGGGGAAGAAAAATCCTAAATCCAGGGCTGGCTCAACCGCCAGCGGGCAGGGGAAGCCACAAGGCCTGTCAATCCAGTTCCAGCCACCCAGGTTGGGAATGATGGAGGCTGGAGAGTCCAGCAGCTTCCGGCCTCTTCCTCTTCCCTCCAAAAAAGGCTTTTTAGCAGGAGAGAAATAAACTTCTGGCTTCTTCTGGCTATGAAGTTTCCACCTTCTCCTTCTTTTCCAGGCTACATCCGCCCAGCAGCAACTCCTGAAGCCCTTCCGCTAGCCCAGACCGGCTGGATGGCCTCTGGGGACCCTCCCGCCCTCTCAACGCTTCCCCTCTGTCTTGCTATTCTTTTTTCCAATGGATACAAAAAACCAGTCTCGCTGCCCTCGCCTCCCCAGAGTTATGGGCCGCCTCCCTATCCTCCTGCCCATGGTGCACCGCCCACCCCACCCTGGGAATTCGGACCCCAAGATACAGAGCAAAGCCCCCCCCCCGTGACTGCCGGGCTCATATGGGGGTGGGGGGAGCGAGGGAGACCCTTTGGGGTGTCCGGAGAGATTGGGGAGGGGGCGAGGCCGGGACCATCACCGGGCGGGCGGGCTGGGGGTCGAGCGCAGCCCCGGGGGTGGGGGCAGGGAAGGAGCCGCCTGGCCCCTCCAGGAGGCGCCCCCGGAGCCCGGCCGGGAGGCGGAGGAGGGGGCGTCCCTCCCCGCGTTCCAGCCGCTCCTTTGTTCGGCGGGCCGGTTGCCTAGCGAGGAGGCCCCCGCCGCCCCCGGCCCAGAGCCCGACCCGGCCAGGACGGAGGGTCCCCGGAGCCCCATGGCCCCCCGGCGGCTGGCGCTGGCGGCGCTGCTGGGCTGCTGGCTGTGGGCGGCCGGCGGGCTGCTGGCGCCGGGGCCGCTCGGCGAGGAGGAGGAGGACGGGGCGCTGATCTCGGCGCCCCCGGAGCTGCTGGAGAAGCTGCCGGCCGCCGCCAAGGCCACGGTGGCCGCCGGCTACGTCAACCCGTCCGAGGAGGAGGAGGCGGAGGCCACCAAGGAGCTGCCGCTGGTGCCGGCCACCCCTCCGGGGCCCCGGCCGGCCGGCTCGACGGCCCACGAGGCGGTGCTGATCGTGGGCGACACGCGCTACGCCTGGCAGGAGTGGAGCGCCTGGCATTGCAACTGCGCGGCCGGCAGCATGGCCCGCGTGCGCGACATCACCTACGCCTCGCCGGACGTGCGCCTGGATCCCGCGCAGTACGACCTGCTCCGCTTCGAGCGGGTGGTCTGCAGCTACGCCGTCTGCGCCTGCGACCGGCGCCGGCACCAGTGCGACCTGCTGGCGCCCCGCTGCGAGCTGGCCCAGATGCACCTGTGCGCCTTGCGCGACATCCAGAGCGACCAGGATGAGAAGCGGCGCCGCTTCTGGGCGCAGGTCAACGGCGGGCTGAAGGCGCTCTGGCGCAGCCTGAAGGCGGCCTTCCCCAGCGCGAAGAAGGTGCGCAGGGAGCCCGGCGGTCTCGGTTGCACTTTGCACATGCTCAGGAGCAGCGTCCCCTTCCACTAGGGACAGCCCCCCCCCCCGCCTTTGACTGGGGAGCCAATCACGAGGAGAGTTAAAATCCGGGGAAAGGTGATTTTTCTCCTGTGGTTTGTCACCCAGAAATGGCGTTTGCTCAATCCCTGAATTAACCCCCATCCTTGACCTCATCTGATCCCCAGAATCCTAACTGAGCCAAGTGGGCTAAAAGAAGCAAACCATAGTTTAAGCTAGCCAAGTGCCAAGTGCAGAGGTCTCAAATAAGTCCCAGAAGTGGGACTGCAACAATCTTTGCCATCCTGAAATTCCCTTTTTACACTTAAAAACAGTGCACAACAGCAATGTCCAATCTTGGCAGCTTTTAAAACTTGTGGACTTCAACTCCCAGAATTTCCAGCTGGCTGGGGAATTCTGGGAATTGAAGTCCACAGGTCTTAGTTGCCAAGCTTGGACATCACTGATGTACAGTCTTTAATGTGGCATTTTTGTGGGTCTGCCGGCAACGGGCTTTTTCAGCATTCGGAGTAGTGCTCTACAATTGAAACACATTTTTTCCTATATTTTAGGGAACGTCCTGTGGTCTCCTTTACCTCTGAGAATTAATTTCGGAATATTTCATTTCCTTCTCCAATTCTGACACCCTCCTGAGTGAGAGAGAAGAGCGAGGCGAAAGCTTTTTCTCCTTTTTAGCTCAAATCTGGCCCTCATTTCCCCAAATTCCCTTTTATTCTGTCTTGGTTTCTGGGTGAACCAGCTGAGTCCCGGTTTATACCCAAGTTATAAATCCCGGATGGCAAAATTGCATCGGCCAAGTTCACGCACCCGCTTCAACCCAAGCGAGCAAAATATCTTTACCTCCCGCCTTTCCAAGAAAAATAAAATTGGTTTTTCTGTCTGTAAAGGATAATAGTAGACCTTAAAACCCCCGGATTACAGAAAACATGTTGAGTCAACTCCCATCATTTCATGGTCAACATGTTTTTCGGTTCACTTGTCGAATTTGCCGTAACCACAAGGGTTTTGAGCTGACCAAAAGGCCTGAATATATATATTTTAAACAACCTTGTTGACATCTGAGGCAGAAGAGATGCTCCTTCCCTACTAATCTTCACAATAGTGGTTCCTCCCCCCTGTTCTCCTGATACTTGAAAAATATTTCATCGGTATTTGATGTGCATTTTTCCTGGGTCAAAATACTTGTTCAACCAAGGCCTAAACTGGAGAAAAAAGGCAGACAAAAAGAGAAATGAGAATATTTGAACCTTCTCCCTTGGCCAACCTCCATTTCCTGCCTTGAGTTAGCCAAGGTTGGACTAAAAGATCTCTAAGGTCCCTTCCAACATCAATTAATCAATCACATAATCCAAACTGGTGGGATTGGATTGCTTCTTAACCTCTTTTCTTATGTTTTCAGTCGAAAACAATTCAAGTAAAGAGCAGCCACTGACCATGGGTTCAAAAGACGCCGGAGCGGAGCAGCCTGACTGAGGCAACACCGAGATTGACCAGCCGATACAATTCACAAGACCCCTGTTCCAAATTTTTTTTTTCCCGTTAACAAAGCGAATGAGTTTATTTTCAAGGAATTGGAAGGACCCTTGGTTTGGGCAAAGAAGCTGCTTTTATTGCAGGTAGCGTTTCCCTCTTCCTTCTCAAAAGACCCTTCCAAAAAGAAGGATTTTTAGCTTATCAGGCAAGAATTTTCCAGAGGCCTCCCCTCCTTTGTGCTACAAAGACTTAATAAAATGCTGGTTCCTACAGCCAGTTTGCTTCTATTGGATCGAAGGCACCCGGCGGAGGATCGTAGCTTTTCCTTCTGTCCCTGAAAATGCCCTCTTTCTGGTTCAAAGAAATAATCTGTTATCCTGCATGTTATCTTTCACTCCAGCATCAGAAATGTGACTCTTTATATATATATATATATATTCTATGTATTCACCCTGTAGCCTTTCTCTTTGTTTGGTGTTCCATCTCTTTCAGTTGCAAATTTGATTTATTACATTACAGCCAGTGAACAGCAGTACCTGTTCAGTCCTAAATTTGCTGGTTCTTTTCAACTCCTGTCCCTGAATGAATTCTAAACATACCCAAGAAGGAAAGTCGTGGTAGCGTTCGCACATTCTCCCGGGCCCATCCCTGGAGCAAGAAGCAAGTTTCGAGGGGACAGGATGCCTGAATTCCTGTTAAAATGCCCTCTCAAAAAAAAAAAAAACACCAAAAACAAATCAAAAGATTATCCTTTGCCATTTAATTTTCTCTTTCCAAGCATACTATTACACTTTGTGCAAATGAGGGAGAAACATACAATATAGGTTGCATAATTCTTTTGTTGCACTTAGCCTAAAAAACAGGGTGTTGGTTTTTTTTTTTTTAAAAAAAAGACCAAACCAGCACAATACAGCTGTCCTTTTCTCCCAGATTTCAGTGTTTCAATTGCAACATTATATTCAAATAATATATTTTTCTCCCTCCCTTCATGCGCGCACACGCACGCACACACACACACGACCATTTTCTTATTTGCAAAAAGAAGAGAGATAATTTTCTGGCTAATAAAAAGACAAATCGAACAGCCCAGCTATTCTTTTCCCCCAGAGCAATCATTTCTAACCCCAGACCAGCTGGGGGGTGGGGGGTGGGGGTGGAATAATAATAATAATAAACACGGCAAGAGTTCTATTTGTGTGTGTTGTGTTTGAAACATCGACCCATCAGCTAAATTTTTGGAGAGGGGGAAAAAAAAAAGAGAGATGCTTTTCAGGTAACTTAAACTACAGACCCCCTCATCCACTGCCAACATGTCGTAGCAATAACCGACATTGCAACCCTAAAGCCCCGAAGATTAAAAATGTTGGTAGCCAAACGGCTGTTCTGCTTGGAAATCTAACTTTTTGCTTGGTCAGCAGACACAGGAAACAAAGAGGAGAAAAAAAAACCGGACACCTTTAATTTTACACCTAGTTGTTCTCGTGCCGGGGTGGGTGGAAAGTGAGAGTTTATTGGCTTCTGGAGGGTTTTTTTTTTTCAGAGCTGACCTACTTACAAGGAACACAAGAGACACCAAAAAAACTCCCTTTTCCCAACCCTGTAATCCCCTTAATTTGGGGTCCGGGGCGACTGGAGGGAGCTAAAGACACAAAGGAAGAGATAATTGTGTGGGTTTTGTTGCAGTGGGAATCCATTGAGGATTCCCAGGCTCAGCCCGATGGCGTCATGCGGACTGCAACTCCAGTTTCAGACAGAGAATGAAGAAATCCCACAGTGAAACCTTCCACAGCCTCGCATATCAGGATGCGGAAAAAGCTGAGGCTGGGATCTGAAATGTGTATATTTTTCCCTCCTCCTCCAGGCTGGGCCGTCTGAAAGTGTTGTTTTGGCTCTGGGGGGTGCCTCTTTCCTCCGTTTTTAAAAATCAGCAGGTCCGTCGTTGAGCGAGACGGAAAGCGCAGGAGAATCGAACCTGGGAAACAAGTATCGGAAGCAGGGTTTCCACACTGCGGCCTCCACGTTCTTAACCCAAGTCTGGCTGGAAGAAAGAGCCACCGAATCCAGGATCCAACAGAGGTGGGGCTTTCGGACAAAGGCCAGCACCAGTCCCATTTTGCAAGCTTGCAGGGATCCAGTTGATCCTGGTTGTAATTTTGCCCCCGCCCTATCCTCAGCTGCTCCATTTATGGGTAGGGGGGCCTTCAATCCATGAAGGGGGCCGAGAGCGAATTCCTCCTGGCTTGCGGGAGCGTTGAGCCACTTGTCTCTGGATCCCGCCCCGTCTTTGCCACGCTGTGGGATGGATTTCTCTGGATCCCCATTTTTGTGCCCCGTGCGGAGGGATGATTGATTTAGGGCAGAAAGATTTGCAAGGAAAAAAGTCACTTCGAACCGCGAGATAGGCAGCAGGTAAATTTGGTAGGTTGACCCAAAAAAAAATGCCCACCAAATCCAGTCTGAACGTTTGGCTGTCTATGCAACCAACCAGAATAATAATAATAATAACAACAACAACAACAAATCATAGGCACCACACTGCTGTTGGTTTTTGAACTCCGCGTCCTGGAAAGTCTTCGCTGGCACCAGGAAGGCTGCCCACCCTGTTTCAGCGCCCACAGCCTCGGCCTGGGGGGCTGCGAGGAATCCAGAACCGCCGGAGGGATCGTCCTGCAAGATGGCAGCTGCATCCATTAATGGCACCTACAGTGTCTCGCATTGTGGCCAGGCCACGTCTTTAAGAATAAAATCCAGTGGAGAAACTTGGGCGAAAACACCAAGAATAACTTATTCTGTCTGATGGCTTCTTCAGTTTATCAGCATGTTGATTATTTGTTGTCATGGAAACGTTGTGGGTCAATTCTGGGTTTAAAAAAAAACCCTACGATTCTTTGCAAGGCTGCCCAGGCAAAATTGTCCGTGCTTTGCTCGCCAAGGTGGGGGGGGGGGGGGGGCGCTGCCAAATGAACAATGCCAGGAAAAAAAAAACCACAGTCAACTGGGCATGTGCAGAGTGACAGACGTCGGGGCTGTTGCTCTTACAATTTTTTTTTTTTTTTAAAAAGGATAAGTTATGCAGTGACTAATTCACTCAACGGTTTAAAGTTTGGCAAGACCAAACAGGACAAGACCAAACAGGAAATTCAAGTGAGGCACAGATGCATTTTTTTTTTCTTTAAAGGTTATTTTTGTAATTCATTAGCCTGTGAGAAAAGAAAAAGAGAGGAGGATAATAAACATGAAAGACTTTCTCCCTGTATGTTGGCAATAAGGCACAATTACGAAAGGGGAACACAACAACATTTGAAAGAGCTTTGCAAGGAGCTGCCCCGAAGCCCCGAGGATTCGAAAGATCTGCTGGATGGGATCAAAATGGATCCCCCTCCCCAATCTAACTTTCTGCCCCCGCTGCCAGGAAGAAAATCTTCCCTCTTATCAATGATTGCTTATTATTCCATTTTATTAAATCCTTACGCCGTCCTCTACAAGGCGACTCTGGCCTCTTATAAGTTATGAAACAGGTTAAAAAAAAATAGTTCAAGCATGAAAACTAAAATGTTATTTAAAAAGAAATCTCCCATTTCTTCAAGGTGACGCAAGCCTCGGCGGCACCTTTGGCTGGGAATAAGATCCCATTGCAAATCAAGCAGCTAGTCCTCTTGGAGCCGTTACCGGCTCTGGCGGTGGCTTTTGCAACCCATCCCATACTTACACGGAGGGGTGGGGGGGAATCTCCTCAATGTTATAAAATGTGGGAATTGCTCCAAGGTCGTTCTCGCCCGCATTTGGATCGCATTTCCTGGACGGCTCCAGACTGCAGGGGAAGAGGGGAAGATTTTTAGGCAATGTGTCTGGTTCTTCGGAGTGGACGCCATCCTTTCGGAAAGAGGACTTGTAGACCTGTGGACTTCAACTCCCAGAATTCCCCAGGCAGCCGGGGGGGTGGGATTCTGGGAGTTGAAGTCCGCCAGTCTTAAAGCGGCCAAGGTCGGTCGCCCCTGCTTTGGAGGGAGAACCAGCACCCCAATCTCCCTCCTCCTCCTCCGCTTGGGCTTACATCACCAAACCTGGGGTCCCAACCCGCCACTTCAGCCTCAGGCCCTTCCCCACAAAGCACTGGGACCCCCAAAAGCCTTGATTTCGGAGGGCCGTGGAGTTACTTTCCTTGGGAGCAGCATTTTAACGCCCTCTCCGGGTGGGGGCTCCCAGGAGTTAATAGGGGACCCCTCCTCCTCCCTGTTTGGATCTGGAAGGCTCAGCCCCGTCCCCAGGAGCAAAGAGGAGCGAAGGCGTACCACGGCGGGGAGTCCCTCGTTCACCATGTCGCCGGAGCCGATGTGCGTGAGGTGGACGAAGTTCATGGGCTCGCCAATCATGCTGCGGTCGATCCGCCGTCTTTTCCTCTGCTGTTGTGGGAGATGGAACCCGGGGAGATTCGGTGAGGGGAGGAAGGAGGGAAGGAAGACCTCACCAACCCCAGCTGGCACCTCCGTGCCCGGCCACGCCCCGTCCCTGGGATGGGAGACCTACGGCCCCCTTCGGACTCACCGGCTGCGCTTTCTCCACCACGCAGCAGCCTAGCTTGTGCCAAAAGTCACTCATGGTGAGAGTCGCTTCCAGCTTTCCGCCTGGTGGGTGCCAAGGACTTGCAGGGGGGGGGGGCGCTTCGGGCCTCTCGTCCAGGCAGAGATGCCGCTCGCTCGGAGGGTGGAAGGGAGCTGGGCGCGGGGCGTCCTGGGGGGTTTGGAGCCTGGAGAGACCTTCAGGTGGCGAGGAGCCCAATTCGGATGGTTGAAAAACACCTTTGGAAGAAGGAGAGGATAAGAATGATGTCAGGGGAGGAGGAAGAGGAGGAGAGCGGAAAAGAGAACGGGGACGACACTGAGTAAAAATTAGGGGAAAGAAAGAGAGGAGGAATTGGAAGAAAGTGTTAAATAAAAATGAGAGGAGAGGAGGAAGAGGAGGAAGAGAAGAAGAGAGGAGAAAACGATGACAACACTGAATAATAATTAGGGGAAATCAAGAAGGAAGAGGAGGAATTGGAGGAAATAGCCCTAAATAAAAATCGGGGGAGAGGAGGAAGAGGAAGAAGACAGCCACAACTTCAACAATTAGCCGATTCTTCTCCCCTGTGAGCCCTGGGGAAGGCCAGCCTGCTGAGCTCAGCGGGGCTGCTCTGCTGTGGCCCCACAACCTCTGGGAGGGTCAGGAAGAAGAGCAGAAAAACTGGCCGCCTCCACAGGCGGGACAAGGCCAGAGGCTGCCCACGTAGGTCTGCGAGCAACTTCGGGGAAGGAGATGCCCCACGGATCCCCCAGCTGCTGCCCTCTTTCGAAATGCGCCGGCCCTGCCTCGGTTTCCTCTCCGGAGGGCAGACGGAGGCGGGAGGGGGAGGGCCAGAGGGGGAGCAGCCTTCTTTTTAGTTTAAAGAAATCGTTTCAGATAACAGGAAACCACAACGAGCTTCCAGAGAAGCTGACAAGAGGCCTTTAAAAGAAAAGAAAAGCCACACGAACGCACGAAGACGCCACTTCCTCCTGGTGAATAACCTTCGGAGGTCACCTGTTCACACCTTTCTTCTTTTTGTGTGTGTTTGTGTGCGTGTGAAAGTGACGACAACCCCTTGGGAATTTCGGTGGCGAGAGATCTGGAAAAAAGGCAGGCGCCGCCTGGCTTAGGCTGCTAAGATTGGAGGGGCCCCTTGAGGGCATGAAGAAGGACCCTCCCTGCTCGGGAAACGAACTCCAGTGACTTCTGGGAAATCACATAAGATACGGCCACGTTGTCAGAAACAGCAACCCCGACACGACTGGCCACT